TTTAAGAGTTACCTTTTTTTTATCTTGGTTGCTTTCTCATTTGATTTCCAAGTAATTTCTAAATTTTATCATGTAATTAGTTTATTCTGTTCATGTATGAAGTAATTTAGTTTGTACTACTTCACTACTCTATTTTTAAAAAAGAATATTGAATTAATTACTCATTTTCCTATTTGAATTTTTCAGATTAATAAATAATTTTATAATATGTGAAAAAAAACTGTAAAGTGCAAGACTACTAATAGAGAAGTCTTACCGTTATTAAGTTGTTTTAATTTTTTTTATTATATTAATTTTTTTCATTTAAATTTATCAAATATTTCCAAATAACTAGTTTTTGTCTATTCCTAATTGAATTAGATTTTTTTTATGTATCTACATATATATATTTTTCCAAAATTTTGACGAATTAAATCTCATATTTTAGCTGTAAACTAAAATTGCAACTTTTCATAAAATTTTATTCAGTTAATTGATTTCCAAATTTTTGCAAGAAGTAAATGATGCACAAAACTTTAGTTTACAATTTGCAAGAATCCAATGAAAATACTACAATTAGATCGTCGTAATCTATCTAACCTATCGAATAAGAGGATCCTTGATGTTATTTTCTAATAAAAAAAGTTGAAATAAAATTTGTGGAAGAGAATATCGAATTTTAAATTTTCTTGGTGAAAAAACTAAGAGAGCACAAACGATAAAATATTATAATCTATGACGATTTGGGTATGTAAACATAAGTCTATTTGAAATATAAAAAAAATTGTACATATATTATTAATATTGTTATGAGAAAAACTTAAAACATATTTCATGTAATTCACGTAAAAGAAAAGAAAGAAAAAAATTTTTACATAAAAAAACCAGAGACATATAATAAAGAAAAAATTTAAAGGAATAAACCATAGTTATCAACTAATTATTTTAATAAATTATTAATTAAAGATCAACTGAAATTTATATATATATATATATTGATTTTTATAATCTAATTGATAAATACAATATATAAGTTTAGAAAGAAATAAAGTCTGTATGATATATGTGACAGAATTTAATTAG